CTGTGTAGGGATGGGAAGGGTGAGTGGATGGCAACAACCACCCTTCAGCTCTAATTTTGTGCACATTTGTTTTGAAGGACTTTTCTCTCCTAATAAGCTATAGGGGCCAAGAGGAAAGTAAACTGTTAAGGAGTGTTTGTGGAAAAGATTATCCCTGTGAGGGTTCAATAAATAAATACTGACCAATTATGATACTTCCTAGTAGATGGTTATTTTATATAATTAGAGTACTGAAGCAAAACAGCTTCTTAATGCCCACCTATGGGATGACCAGTCATGGGCGACCGCAGAGAGCTATATAGGATGATAGATGGTGTACTGGATTGCACATCGGGAGGGAAGGCTGGCTTCCAGTCCTCTCTGTGTACCTAAGCAGGGACTCGGGGGAAACTCGATTCACTTTTCTAGATCTCAATGTTCCTGTCTGCTGAATTGGGGTTGTGTGGTGGTGTTATGGACTGAATGTTTGTGTCCCCTCCAAATTCATATGTTGAAGCCCTAACCCTTAATGTGCCTGTATTTGGAGACAGGCCTGCAAGGAGGTGATAATGGTTAAATGATGCCTCAAGAATGGGGCCCTAAAAAGAGGAAGACACACCAGAGCTCTCTCTCTCTCTCTCTTTCTCTCTCTGCCATATGAGGATGTGAGGATAAAGTGAGAAGTTGGTTATCTACAAGTCATGAAGAGAGCCTTCGCCAGAAACCAACCATGCCAGCCTGTTTATCTTGGACTTTCTAGCCGCCAGAGCTGTGAGAAAGAAATCTGTGTTGTTTAAGCCACCCAGTCTATGATATTTTGTATGGCAGGCCAAGCAGACTAATAGGTGGTGATGACTAGCTACTTAAAATGACATAATGGTTATAAATTCATCTTCTTAGAGAAACTCTAAGAGCTGGGAAGAGAAGAGTAGTATTTTATAAATAAGGAAACACCTCAAATCACAAGACTACCACAAGAACACAAGGCTACTAAGTGGAATTCAGTCAGATGCAAACCTGGTTCTTTAAGGCACCTTTAGTTGTAAATGTCCGTGATTTTCTTGTTTTCAGCATCATTATACTGGATGCCTATGAATTCTAGTTTTTAGGTTTCCAGGTAATGCCCAGTTGAAGAATGTCAAATTTATCACAGGTCATACGTATGCTTTTTCTCTTTAGAACTGCAAGAGTTCTTTCCTTTGACCCGGCCATTCTCAAAGTATGGTCTGGGACCAGCAGTGGGAGCTGAGGACTTAGAAATCCAAATTCTTGGGCCCTACCTCTCGACCTGCAGAATCAGAAACTCTGGGGGTGGGTGGGGCCCAGCAATCTGTGTTCTGAGAAGCCCTCTAGAGGATTCTGAGGCTGCTAAAACTTGAGAACCATGGTTCTGATCCATATATACTTGGTCCCCTTTGTCATGGGTTGACATTTGACATTTCCCCACCTTATTGCACTGAAAGATATGCAGCTGCAACTCTGAGTCCTACAGTCAACTAAATCTACGACATACTGTGAAAACTATTTTGAAAAATGCTTGAACCTACAAGTGTATCCCTTTTATAGTGATAATATTCTATAATTTTGTGTCAGCCTTGGTTACCTCCTTTAAGTCTGCTTGGAATTTGAAAACACTTTAGAAAAAAAGCTATCTTGGTGAACATATCACAAACCTTGAGTTAAACTGACTCTATTCTAATTAAAAATAGTAATTTAAAATAGAATTAATTTATAATTTATTCAAAGTGGCTAATGTTTTTAATCACTTACTCAAGGTACTTGACCATCTACTCCCCCACTCCCACCCCTGATATCTCAGCAACTTCAAAGAAAATTCATTTGTACATGAAATCTATTCCTAAACAAGACACACCCCCTTCCAGTCAGGAAAGAATATTTTAATAAATAATAAGAATAATCCAAAATCCATATTTAAAATTTCTTTTAAATATGTATTTATCCTAGAAAGCCAAATACAGAACTAATTTTATATATTTTATTATAATTATATGTATATAATAACTGTATATATGTCTATTATATATGTTATATAATTATACACATAATGAAATATCTGTATATATTTATACCAAATGTCTGGGTTTTAGAGGTATAAAGATTTTTATCTAATGCTTCCTTTGATTACTTTCCTATGCTTGAAATTTGAAAACTCTAGGGATTTTTGGAGAATATGGACTTCAATGCCAATGTGATACATTTATATTTAAATGACTATAGAAGTGTGTGGGTGTGTGATTACATATTATATGGCAGCTCCTATTACTTTAGGACATCAACACTAATCTAAGAATTCTCTGGAATGTTTTCATGTGTATCTCAAATAAATCTTGCCACTAAAATTTCACAAAAAGAGAAGCACAATATTGCCTTTTAGAAGAAAACCTTACACATTTCCAAAATTACTTTTTCTTATGTAGAAATAACACAGAAATCACCTTTTACCCCCTTGACTGTGGGCAGCCAGAGTGAACAAAATCCTCATACTCTGGGCTGCTTCTGCTATTAATTTGCTTACATAAGCAAAATTGTGGGCTTTCTGTGGAAGTACAAGACTGGCAAATCACAGGACTGATAAAACGGCATATAGCTTGCACAGCATTTGTAGAGCGACAGCTTCTGAATGACAGATTAAATGAGCTTAGTAGACTTCTGCCCTTCACAGCACTCCAACTATTTTATTTAAAGCTTTTTGTAATTATATGAAGATTGACTAACAAATTTCTACCATGTTTCTGAAAAGACACAGGAAGACTAAATTGAACATAAAGATTCCTTCCCCCCTGCCAAAATATATATAACAACTGTGAGATGAAGCACTATTAGAAAAAAGTGTTTTACCACATCCACACATAAACACACATACACTTTTAAAGTTGATCTCTTAAACTTAGGAAGAATTTTTTTGTAGTGTTATAAAGACTAATTAGAGTGTTTTCCCAAATATTTTTCTTCGAGATGTCAACGCTGTCCTTGTTTCTACCTAGGATTTGTTCATTACATCAACACCAAATAAACCTTCCCCAAAAGGAAGGACTACTCTTACTGCCAACAGCAAACACCAAAGCCAACTCATATTCATAATTACTCATCTTTTGAGACATGTTTTGACATGAATGACTCAGCAAAGCTGGGTCACTGCCAGCTGGTGCCAACTGGTCCAACGGCACCGGAGGAAACATGATAACTACAGAGACAACAGTGAATGAGAAACTGAATCCTCCCTCATTTGATCCAGGCAAGAAAAGTGTTATTTTCTGAAGAAGCAGGAAAGTGCATTCTCTTTTTTAAAAGATTGCTAAACAGTTAATAAAATGTGTTTAGGCACAACAATATAAATTTTGTGAAAAGTGCCACGAGAATAAAAGAACAATGACTCCCTTTTCTGAATCCCCAAATTCACTTAAAACAAAAAGAAGCTTTAGGAAAAACTAAAGAAAAGAAAGAAAGAAAACAAAAGCAGCTTTGGGGTTAGAATGATAGTAAAGAAGTACAAAAACAGTAGGAATTTAACTTCTACGTGATTAAAGAAGAAATAAAAAGTAAAACTTTTCATTTTAATAGAGAAATCTATAGGTATATATGTTCTCATAATATACTCAATTGTATTTTACTAGTTCATTTGCCAGGGAGGTCCAGTCCTTTCATCAGAATGCTAGTCTACAGCACAGGATCTATGGGAGATGGAGATCACACACCCCAAGTAATTAATCTGGCATAGTTAAAATGATAGCTAATAGCCCAGCAGAGCACTCAGGCTCCAGTCCCACTTATCTTATTAACCGAACTGACAATTTGGCGCTGAGTAGAAACATAGGGCCATATCCAACACTCTTCCACCCTGGTTTACTCAGGAGCAGGAGGAGAGTGAAGATAAGGCAAGAAAAACTTGAAGGTAGTTTGAGTGAACCCTGTATTATGGACATACTCTGCACCTCCTGGGGAGATGCTTTGTTCAGTTTTCCCCAGAAGACCACTTCAGTTACCTTAATTATTCCAGGCCTAATAAGCCAGTTGGTAAGTTAATTGTTTCTGGTTGCTATCTTCTGGTGGTCATTTTTCCTTTTTTCAGAAATAGACACAATGGCTCCTTTAATGCAATCACCACGATGCAAAACAGACTGCATGATTGATTAAGAAACTGTCTAAATTCAACTTGGCTTTCTGTAACTTGCTGACTGCCTTCTTTCTAACTTCTTCATCTGCTCAGATTCCTTTGAATTATTTCTCTGTCTCCACCTGAGCTTACATCAGAATCAGAGCCACCTACACATGAAATAGATGTGCAGTTATCTTGTCTCCCTGATAATTAACAAAGACGTTAAGGGCTAATGCCAATTCAGTGGCACGAGCTGGATACCTTCCATTACCTGTCATTGTTTACGGTATATTAAGCAGTTTTCATTTCACCTTATGGGCCCATATGAAATATAAGCTAGATGTTTCCCAAATCACAGGCAGTATTAAAGAATATTAAATAGCTTCTTTTTTTGTTTGTTTTTTAAAAAAGTCTCTAAATTTACTGCAGACAATCTGAGAAAGTAAATTGGGCAATATGTTTAAACTTCTCAGTTTTTTAAAGTCTTATATCCCTGTCCTCTTAACTTATATTTATTGTCTTACACTAATAGTAGCATTTCTCATTTTCAAAATAATTTACTTTCTGGTTCTTATTTAAATATTTTTTTCCAACAAATTATCATTGTACTGATTTCATTTTTCAAGTGGGGCTTTTAATTTCCAAAACTTCTCTTATCTTGCTCTGCTTTATTTTTCATCATTCTTACATACAGGACATACATGTTGACATCATGCAGAAGTCAGTGCATCAGAGGCGTTAGACAGGGAGGCTTAGCTGCTTTCAAAATCTATCTTATTGTGCAGGCCTCAGTTAGATGAGCTAAGCTAATATAGCTTCCAGGGCAGCGCTGAAAGCTCAAAGGGCTTCAGTTGTCAAAAATCTACAACGCAACATTAGAAAATGTATGTAAGCATTCACTTACCTGCTTTTGATCAACAATTATTTTCAGGTCTTCATCACTGCTTAGTTTTCCATATCCTTTTTCTTTACTTTTCTTGTGAAAGAATAATTTTAAATGATCATTTAGTTTCTTTCCATTAATAATGTTAATTCCCACTTAATACTTTTTAAAGATAAAAGTCTTTTCTTAGCATTGTTCACTAGTCATAATACATCATTCTTTATGCCAATCTCTCATGGACAACAGAAAATATCTTTATTAAACTGCTGGCTTCTGCTTAGCCTCTCCCACCCAAATTATACTTTTAATCCTTCTCTGAATATTGTTATGCTTCCTTTCTTTCTTCAATTGTATATTTTTAGAAAAGATTCTTTAATAATTCGAGATAAATAAGCAACTCCTTAAAGAGTCCCAGCACATTTTTCTTAAAGACTGAAACTGCATTTAGTGATTATATTATGCTTAAGATTTCAACTATTAAATGTTTTATTTTAACCCTTTATATATTTTTAAGACTAAGCAAGAATAACACCACTCAGGTAACGAATCTTCAGATCTTCTGTATTTGCTTATAAATCTGATGAAAACTAGCATTGGCAAAACAACTCAGAAATAATTTTAAAAAGATAAGTAAAATAATTTTCAAAATTAGGTAGTTTGAAAAGTTGGTAGGGTACGGACCATTTTAAAAAATGTACTTTATTGGCATTTTCCCCCATCTATCTTCCCCATAGCAAAAGTTCATAACTTCATAAGTTAGAAAAGGACATAGATCATTACAACCATTTTACTGTTGTGTTACAGGAGAAAGATAATACGTCTGAGTCTTTTCTTTTTTTTTCTCCCAGTGCAATGGTTAAACTAAATACCATTTGGAATGACAGTTGCTTCTTCATAATTTCAGAAACATAGTACCTTCATAGAAGACCAGTAAGAAAAAGAAAAGAAAATTCACTACATAATTAGCTGTAATCCAAGGTTATTATTTTTTAAAAAAGCAATTCTTGCTCTCGGTATTAATTATATCAACTAGAATTAAGGGAATTAAAAATATTTCTTATGTTTGTATCTACTGTGCCATATTAGGATCCTCATCTCATTGGGGGAAGAATTACAACCTTCAGCGAACATGACATAAATCTTCTTTATACTGTGGGAAACGATTCTTGTCTGTTTTTTCTCCTATAACATTTCAAAAGCAGATTTCCATATTTCCTCCCCAATAAACATACCTCCTATTTTTGTGGGTTGTTTTTCTGTAATAAAGATATTTTTCTGAATCTTCAAGTATTAGGATGCATAAATAAAATCTGAATTCTCATTCATATATTAATGAGTTTAACCACTTAGAACAGAACAGATGGCCACAGTATTTCTCTCTATTATTATTCTTGTCCTCATTTGAGGTTCCATTTCAGGACTGATGGAAAACAAAAAGAACAAGGTTGGTTTTGATCAAGATGGACTTCCTTCCTACCACTTTGCTTTAGTACACTGGTTGCCATAAGATATTGTCCAGAGACCCTCTAATGCAAAACATTAAGAAATGCCTTTCTGAATATTGATCTGTACACTTACCAAGTAGCTCATGTGCATGACCCGACTTCTGGACAAAAGGACATTAAGTAGAGATGGAATGTGGGTCTTTCCATCCATTTCACTGTCAGACATCCCAGAATTCTTTGCACCAGCGGCAGTGGCTTCATTGCCAGAACTTGCTGACCAGAGAACCACAGATCTTGCCCAGCAGCAGTATTTATAGTGTACCACAATAATCGAAGTATCCCCGAATCACTGTCTTGACTTTGTAGACATTGTGAAATTTGGGGTTTGCACAAAAAATTATTGAAACTAACATTTCTTCTTTTCTAGCTTATATCCAAGTATATGTTCCCTGACTGCTTTTCTAGTTTAATGCTCAAAAAACCCCTCCATCTATTATTATACACATTTTCATATTTCATCTCACGCATATGGACTACTCAGCTTCTCTGTCATAAAAGCTTTCAATTCTCGCTTTTCAATGTCCTGCCCCAGACTTTCTTGTGATTAGCAAATCACTGCTAATAGATATAACAATGTCGGCATTCACAGAACGTAATTCAAGATCGCCATTTCTGCCAATACCAGATTCCACTTTTCCAGTTTAATCCCAACTCCCTATCTGGTTTATTACTAAATTTTACCAGGAAGAGGCTAGGGAAGGAGATTATATCCCCAACTATTGTTAAGTAGAAGTTGGCATTTTCCAAGAGTGGGGGAGGCTCTGGGCTTGCTCTTAAGCCCCTACTTTCCAAACAGCAGACAACTGTACACAGAGTCAGAAGCCTTCCAGTTTTACTCTAGAGTTAAGCAATATTTTCTAGCTCACCCCATAACCCAGGGGGATTAAGCCTTTTCTAAGCCATAATGGTTATTCGCTCACTTACTGCTTATTTCTAGTGCGAGTATAATCCTCTTTCAAGCACTCAGCTTCCCACTTTGACTGCTTAGATCAGCCAGCCCAGGCCGGGGTCTTCAGCTCTCCTCCCTCCTCCCAGCCGGGAATCCCTGTCTTCTATCTCTGCACTTTGTCAAGCACAAAAAGCAACTCCATAGTTTCTGCGTGGTCTTTCACATTAGCCAAAGGACTGAACTGGAAGGAGAAAGAAAGCTAACCTCCCCACTGTCCACGCGTGAGGAGGCAGGGCTTCTGTGGGAGGAGAAGCCCGAGGGTAATCACTTCCTGTGCTCCGCCCACCTCCCCTGGCAGCCACTGGGGCTGAGGATTTCAACTGAGGCAGTAAGGTTAGGCCCCTGTCCACCTCAGCCTGAGCATGCTGCTTGTGGAGAGCCGATTTTGTGCACTGCTCCCCTCTGTGCAGCTGAGGAGGGAGCGTCAGTGCAGTGGAGCTAAAACAGTGCAGCTGAGGAGGGAGCGTCAGTGCAGTGGAGCTAAAACAGTGCAGCTGAGGAGGGAGCATCAGTGCAGTGAAGCTAAAACAGTGAGGACCTCGAGGTGGGAGAAGTGAGGAAAGGAAGGAAATAGTCATCATTTGCTGAGAATGCCTCCCTCCCTGTGAGAAGCTTTCAGCTCAGGATAAGTGTCCAGTCTCTGAAACTCCAAACACAGTATCTCCCCTCTCCCTCACACATTATGAACCCTTTCTGAGTAACTGGTAGGAAAACTATCTAGTTATTTTTTAGTACTGCCAAATTTTTTAATACCACTGAATCAGAGCTGTTGTTTTCTTAGGAACATCGAGCCTAGCTGGTAATCTTTCCTCTCTGTAAATGTTCCACCAGCTCTCCTTGACCCTATCTACCTCCACAAAAGTGAAACAGAAAGCTGGGTTTATTCACTTGAACTAAATAAACCATAAAACTTGGAAACTGTATAGGAAAACCATATATGGCCACAGATATAGAATGTATTATATAAGGAAATTTTGCAAGTAAGTAACAAAACAATAGTAAAATTTGATGGGATAGATACCTGACAAATGAAGTACCCAATGTTCATTTTAGAATAAGAGTTATGAGTTTATGAAAAAGTAAGAGTTTTAACTGAAAGCTACTAGTTGTATATGGGTTGAATTAAGAGGATTCATCATACTCACTAGGAATGGAATATATAAGGGAAGTTTTGAAAAGGAAAAGGAACACATGATTTAATTAATTGTACAAATTAGCCTCAATGACAATTTTTGCCTAACTATAGATGTCAAAATAAATATAAAGGTTTGCATATAAAATTACAAAAAATATTATTACTATTACTTATTTAATACTACAATATGATAAATAGGAGACCTGAATTTATTTAAGCAAATGTTAATGAAGAATAATAATATACACAAAAGAAGCAAAGACCTTCCTACTCCCTTTGTGGTTGTCAGTATTCAGTTCCTATCTTCTTATTTTTCCTACCTTCAATCCCTTCTTCACGACCACCTTCCTTCCTGCAGCCTGCAAAACTGCTCAGTTTTCCCGGTTCTAAAAGATGACTTCCTCACATCTGCTTTCCCCTAATGACATTCATTTAATCTCTCTTATCTCTTTACCATCAAGCTTGAAAGAGTGGTCCGTGCTCACTAGCCATAGTTCCTTCCTTTCTCTTCACTTCTAAACCAATCACAATCAGGTTGCAATTTACTATAGTTGCATTCTTGACGGTCACCAATGGACTCCTAATTATCAAATTCTCTAGCAGCCCTTTTTAGAACTAACTGTATGAATTAGTCCCAAACGCAACTTATGATTGACTATAGATGTCAAAATAAATGCAAATATTACTTCTTTCAGTGGTCAGGTCTGTATCATGTATTTTCAGAAATGTCTTTGCTGTTATTTACACCGTTACAGCTGTTACATGGTGTTGCAAACAGGTGAATAGGATATCAGCGAGAGGGGGGGAGCACAAAGGAGATACTGTGCTAAGAGGATACTTGCTGAGTTTGAGGTGTCTGTGGAAAGTTCATCCAAGTGGAAAGATCCAGTTGGCCGCTTGGTTATATGGATCTATATTTTTAGAAGAGAGATAAGGCAAGACATATGGATTGATGGGGATAATTAAAATTGTAGGAGTGGTCGAACTCATTAAGAAAGAAAATGTAGAGTCAGAAGAGAAGAGGACTAAGGCTGGAGTCGTGGAGAATCATTACATTTAAAGAATGGGCCAAAGAAAAGAACGCAGGGAAGGAGGCAGAATAGGAGTGGCCGTAGGTATAGGAGGAGAACCAGAATGCAGTCCGAGGAAAACAAGTCGTAGATGGTGTCAAATGCTGATGAAAGGTTAAATAAGGAGAACTGCACGCTTTCACTGTATTTGGCATTTTGGAAGTCATCAAGGATGTTAGGAACAGAAGAATTAGTGAAGGTGGAACCAAGATTAGAGTAAATTAATGAATATATTGGTGGTAAGGGTGAGAGAGGACTTATTTTCCCTTAGAAAACTTGAATAAAAAGGGAAAGGGGAAAATTTGTTAAGGTGGTAGATCTCATCTTAAGTGTTCTTATGCCACAGCTTAAAAAAAAAGAGCGAGAGAGAAAGAGGAGCAAGAATGCTAGTGAAAAGACAAAAAATACAGAGTGAGAATACTAGGAAAGTTATAGTTTTCCCCCATTTCCTTGTGTAAAGGTATTGAGTATGTTCATAGTTCAAGAAGGAGCAGTATTGAAAGTGAAAATGTAGATACCAGAGGGTGAAGGGGAATAATTCGTGAAGCAAGAAAGTAAGAACAAAGTGCTTTTGGAGAAAAACTGCATGTTTCTCTTTCAAAATTTACAATTTTGTGGTATATATTTACATAAGAAAAATCTAGAAGGATATATACCAAATATTAAAAATCCTTTTCTCTGGGCGATGGAATTATGCATGATTTGTGTGTTCTCTTTATACTTGGCAGTTCTTTTTGGAATAAGAATGAATTTCTTTTATAATAATAATAAGAAAGAAAACAAAATATGATTGCTTGAGAGATCTATACAATTACCAATAGAAAAGACTCATTTTAAGTCTACTTTGCAGAAAAGTGACTGGGTCAGGGCTTTACCCTTCCTTTAATATGTTTCTGGAGGGATAAATACTAGTTTTTTTTTTTCTTTAAATGTAAGTTTCATGGTACAGTTATTGCTTCTGTCCCTTGTGGCCAGTGTGGTAGGATGGCGAAGTGGATGTTTTGTTTATTGTATTTAATATGTCCCTTTCCTCTTCACTCTCCCTTATAATATTAGCTTTCAGTTTTTGATATTTTGGTCCCATGTCCCTTCTTTTTTTAAAAGATCCGCAGTGTCAGCACATCTACCAACACCACTGCTGTGGGAGCCAAAGAAACAATGAAAGGAGAAAACAGAAAACGAGGGAGGAGTTTCTCCCCAAAGACTTGAAATAAAAGTTTGAGAGTTTCTCCATTTAGGACATAAGCCTGGACAGACCTTTTAAATAGAAAGTAATCACCTTACCAATTAAAAGGACAATTTGCAGATCTTTTATTTTTCTCATAGATGGAGGAAATCAACCTTCTGAAGGGGAAATTCATTACAGAGAATTATTTGCAGAGGTGCTTATTACACTTGGCATTTTTCAAGAACTATTTTTTTTCTTTTTTAAAGACATTCACAGTTGTGTTCTCCCCCCACCAACTGTGATGTTATGGAAAAACAAAATAGCCACAGGGTGTAATTATTTAGTTTCGGGCCAGGCTTGAGCAAACATAACATGTGGTAATCAAAGTCTGTCCTAAAGGTATATTGCTGGGTGAAAAAAGAAATGTAAGCACAACAAATATGTTGATGCATTTTAAACCATGTTTTAAGTCATATGCATATGACCAGATATTTAGTAATTTTTTGATTTTAAGGCTAAGTGTAATTGGGAAAATAGATATTCCAGTTACTTACTAGTTGAACAATAAAATGGCAGTGATGCACATTATAATTTTCACTATAGCCTTGAAGACCCTCCTTAATGCTGCCTTTCCTATCTTTAGAGTGGCTCTTGGTCTATAAGAAAATAACCTGAAGAGTTTTAAAGCTTCTTAGAATATTTTCTATTTTCCAGGTTTTTCAAAGATGAGAATTCTCCAACATAAATATCCATTAAGGTTGCTCAATCTTACGTCATTGTACTATGACATTTTCTCAAGAACACAAGTTCAGTATTAGGTATGCACCTTCTTACATATCTTTTCCAATATTTTATCATAAGAAATCAAACATACAGCAAAGTTACAAGAATTTTACAGTGAGCATCTGTAAACTTACTACCTAGATTCTACCACTAACATTTTACTGTACTTGCTTTTTGCGTATCTGTCCATCTATCTGCTGATTTTAAGGCTAAGACTAATTGGGAAAGTATAGTACATATAGTATATACTATTTTTAAAGTATAGTACATATAGTACATACTATCACAGTTTTACAGATTCTTTCCTCCAAGGTTTATTTTATTTAATTTAATTTTAAAACTCAAAAAGCAAAACCATTGGTTTAGTAAGCTTCCAAAATAAGAGCACTAAAAGTTTAGGATGTGTTAACCCTACAGCAAATCATTACTTTCATTTGAAAAGCAAATCAGCGAACTGCACTTCTAGTGCTAGTGATAGGTCCTATCACTAAGATTAGGGAAGAGGATTTCTGATCAAGGGGCTGGGATTTTTATAGCTCTCAGTCAAAAACAAGTGATCAAACAACTCAATTTTCTGAGACGAATACAGGGTGTGATAGGCAGTTCCAGTTGATATTAATCGTCATCCTTAATTTCATATTCTTTGATCATCAGTGTTTTCTGAAAATAACTTCACTTTACTCTGGGCTATGCAGTAAGTATTTACCTCTGGTACATCCAACAAAAGTAGCAAGACTCAGGCGGGGCTAAGATGGCTGATGGCTGCTCAGAGGGGTTACATATGCTCTAAGGAATAGTACAGTACTTGGGTGGTCTATTGAGATGAAGTAGGCAGAAAACAAAAATTAAACTTGAAATTTCAGTTATGTCAGATGCAGCAATGTTCCACATTACTTTGAGGACAATAAATACACTCTTCTCAACCCTCCCTCACTTCCAAAACCAAACAAAACCACATTCAAAGAAAAAAACAAACAAAAAATGATGTCCTACTTAACAGGAAAATTCTGAGTCCAATTCTTTCATCTGAAAGGTTCTTGTCTCTACAAAAATCATTTTCTCATCTCCTCTAGACTAGGCTCTTGAAGCTGTAAATGCAGTGGTATATCATGTAATGACTGATATATAAAAATTGTTTCCTGCCTGCTGAAGATGATTGAAAAATGATACATATTTCAGTCTACTAGATTTCTTGGCATTATGTGGTATTGGTGCTATTTCCGCTATTTCCAAGGCAAGGCGAAACTAAAAGCACTCCCATTTGGCAGTTTTACCTGTCATCACTCAAAGAGCAGTGCTGGAGTGCTTGTTGGTGTAAGACAGGTAAGGGGCCTGAGAGAACTGCCATTATTTTGGATCCTCAAATGGTAAATAAACACTACTATCACATAAAAAGTCTCCTTTCCCCCAAAAAACTAATAAGAAGGCAAACTATGTATTCTATATTTTTGCAGCTTGAGAAGAATAAGAAATAATCTCTTTAAAACTCAAACTGTTACTTGATGCTCTGCTTCTGATCCTTATTGACATGATTTCTTGTTGCTATATGCGTTGGCCCTACCACACGGGGGCTAGAAGCGTGTTACGCCAAAATCCAAAACAGTACTTATCACTGGCCTCTCCAGTGGCTCCTTTTCCCTCTCACTGGTGCACTTGGTTGGTGCAGCTG